ACTAGCCATAATCATGTTAGCAGGTCTGGCTTCCATCAAATTTATGGCGAGTGCATGCATCATCACCTTCTGCATATTAATCCTTTCTCTGTTTGCAAATATAGCTCCTTTTCCTTTGTGCTTTGGGCGGATTGGGAGTAACTAGGAGTGGAGTTATTTAATTTTTGTTAGGGAGTCAGAGATAGAAGAATAAAAATTAAAAATTTTAAAAATTAACATATTGAACTTAATCAATAATCAAAATATTGTTTATAAAAAATAAGTTTATATAATATATAAATAAAAAAAACTTATAATAGTAATTTAGGAAAGTTGTGGTTGATTATATTTTCTGAATTTAAATTTATCAGTTAAAAATTATGTACTAAAAAAATCTATTTTTTTAAGATTGAGTATTAGATATTTTGATTCATATTACTTTTGTTTATGAGTTAAAATATTTAGACTTAATAGCTCAAGTGTAAGAAAATCATTTAGACGATTTGTATATATATATTTTTAAAGAATTTGTTACATGTTTTCAACGTACTCGTACTTTAATTAAACTTGAAAAAATATTAATACATTCAACATCTAATATTCTTATTTTATTTTTATCTAAACTTATAATGCATAAAATATAAATAGTTAAATATGATATACAAGAGTAATAATTTCTTGTTATATAATTAAAATTATTTAAAGACTATATATTAAAAAAAATTTACTTTCAACTAAATATAAAACATAAAGCATATAAAAAAGATATATTCAATATAATTTCCACTAATATAACCAGGATTAATTAAAAAAAATGATACATTGATAAAATTTTAAGCAACAATACAATACTAAAACTTATATTTGAGAATTATATAATAATTTATTAATTTTAAAAAAATAAAATCATGAAAAATAAAATTCAAATAACATAAAAAAGACGAACATGACAAATAGAAGATAGAACTTACATATGATATTACAAAAAAATAAAAAAAAAACATGGTTGATGGTTCATAGAAATTTGAAAAAATAAATTTATAAAAACTTATAATATATAAGCAAATAATATAAAAAATATAAATAAAAAAATAAAATTGAAGAAAGCATGAGGGATTTTTTTATTCTTTATTTGTATTAATTATTAAATAAAAAATTATTAAAGGGGCCATTAAGAGAATATGTTAAAAATTTTATATACAATGAAAGAAATTTTAAAAATTTTGGTCCCCCAAAACTATATGAGCACCCCCCTGGGAGTAACTAAACCTACTAGTAATTAACTCTTATCGTTGAGGAGTGATCTCCTGCTAATATATAACTTGGTTCAATTTATTAAAAAATTTAAAGAAAGTTCACACAAATTTATTAATGATGTTTATCGACCTTAAATAAAAAAAAAAAAGAAAACTAGTTAATAATACATGAAGAAAAGAAAATAAAACTGAAAGTAGTGGCCAACATGACTATATTACACTTAACTGTTAGTTCATGGTACAATTTCACAAACTATAAATAATCACTTGTCCATGAACTTCACATACATGAATAAAGAAACTACTTAAAAGTAGTGGTCAACATGACCACAAAACAAAGCAAATTAACTGTTAGTAACTCTTCAAGCTTAACCTCAATGTTCAATACACCTCTCAAAGCTTAAGCCTGGTTAATTCACACACCATCCATACATAGCTATTTTTCAAAATAACACCTCATTACAGTTTTCTTTCTCCTCAACGACTATTGCCTTTTCTTCGTTTCATAAACCTCTATTTTGGAAAATCTTCTCGATGTGCCCCATTTGATTGCAATGTCGACATTTCACATTAGGACGGAACAAACAAAATTTCTCTATATGATTTTGTTTTTTGCAACAGTTGAAACTTAGCCTTAGTTTTCCATTGTTTTCCATCATTATTTCCTCTATCATTCTCTTGGGCTTGGTCCTTTGATTATTGCCCACTTTTTTATCTCTGACTCCTAACCATCAAGGCACCCTCCACATGTTCATCATTTCAAATAGCTCTTTTTTGTTCTTAAGCTTAGAGGGCGTTCATAAGCTCAATAATTGTTGGTTGAGTAATATCTTTAGAGTCCTCAAGTGAGGATACCATAGTCTTAAATTTTACAAGGAAACTGACCAAAGTCTTGCTCACGACAATTTGAGTTGATCAACCAGCTTTATAATCTTGTCAAAGTGTTCTTTAATACTCTCTTCATTCTTCATCCTCAACATCTCGAACTCTCTATAGAGATTCAAGGTTTGCATATGATGGGTCCCCTCGTTGTCATGAAACCCCTTTTTCAGGAGATCCTAAGCATTCTTAGGTGATTCACAAGTTATTATTTTTGTGAAAATAGCATCTAACACAGCCAAATGGATGATGAAGAGTCTTAAATCTTTTCGGCACTTTTTCGTTGTATTACTTCACCTACGCCACTATGGGGTTGGATCTTTATTTTGGTGGTTCACCTCCCACCTCCATAACCTCTTAAAAATCGAAGGCTCCAAGATATGTGCCTTCATTTTCACGAGCCAAATGTCATAATTTTGTCTTGTAAATACAGGTAGAGTAACAACATGAAAACTTGAAAAAGCCATGGTTATGGTGTTTTATTTTAAGAACTTGAGAATGAAAATTTTTTAAAAAATTATTGGTAATTTTTTGCTTTATCTATCTTTTAAAATCCTTTAAGGGGCTCTGATACTATGTTAGAAAATTTAAAGAAAACTCACACAAATTCATTAATGATACCTAAATAATACATGAAAAAATGAAAATAAAACTAAAAATAATGGCATGCATTACCATGTTACACTTAACTGTCAGTTCATGGTACAATTTCATAAACTGAAAATAACCACATGTCCATGAACTTCACTTACATGAATAAAGAAATTACCTAAGAGTAGTGGCCTACATAACCACAAAACAAAGCAAATTAATTGCAACAACTATCCAAGCTTGACCTCAATTTTCAACATTGTTTACACATAAACACACATACTAATTAAGATTAGTAGCAATGCCTTGAAAGAAGCTGCAACAGAGATTCAATTTTGTCTTGGAAGCTTTTTCTTCATATTTCTAATTAACCTCCAGAACAGAACTATCCCAATTCTTTACTATGATTATAGAAAAACATTGGCAGTAAAGTTTATTTGTCAATTTATCATTCCTCTACTCTTAATAGACTTTCAAGGAGAGATCACTTGTATCTTTTATTCTTTGACTATCTTGGTCTGCGTACATATATCATACCTGGAGAGTGTAGATAGTTGATTTTGATTAATATTTATTCTCTAAAAAATTATTTTACCGCGTAACATTGTATAGAGAATGATAAAAATAACTAATACAAGTAAAACACAACTTCACTTAAAACAATTAAAACAAGTGAAACTTTACTTCATGTAAAACAACTAGAACAAGTGAAGCTTTATTTCACACTAAACAATTAGATCAATTGAAATACTACTTCATGCAAAATAACCATTTCATACAAATAACAGTGAAAGTAACTCGAAATTTACGACAGGGTTTATGGGTTACTTTCATTTTGATATGTTTTGAAAAGTTTGACGTAATAGCTCAAATAGGGAGCTAGTCTTATTTTTAACTTTTTCTTAAAGTATAAGTGTTTTTCCTTTTTATCTTTTTCTCTTATACTTGTTCATGTACACTTTTTCTCTTTTAAGTTGTTCTCGTACAACTTTTCCTATATATACTTCTTTCATTTACTCTCTACTCAAGAACAAATATCATTTTGTTATTAACGGTTATAAAATGCATTACTTTAATAGTTATATAATGAATTTTCAACCATTTCTCAACATTAAAAGCTAAAGGATTGTCATTCAATATTAAAACCGTTATTCATTTCATGCATTAAAATCAATTCTTGAGTAACAACTGTTTCTTACACTACATATAAAGCTTTCACAATTCATTTGAGGAACTTTTTAAAACTATCTTATTTCACTTAGAACTTCCCTTTGTAGCCCTTTTATGCATTCTCTACCTATTCTCATCCGATTTTCTTTCACTTAATTTCAGAAAATACTCCAATCTCCCTCTCATCATCTTCGATATATCATTTTACTTGATTGCAACACTTCTCTTTTCCATTATAAGAACCCGCTTTACAAGGAGCAAGGAATACTTGCAAATATTCTAGCAAATCACCTTCTCGTGAATCTGCTCCAACATGTTGTGGACGACGTTGGAATCAATATTACAAGCTTACCTGATATGGCTGATAAGCCGCAAAACAGGCTATGTGAAGGCTGGGGTCTGCGTTACAATGTACTAGCTCTGTGTAATTTCTTTGATTTGCTGATACTGTTACTCTTGTAAACTCAGGCAGAAAATTTCTGCTTCTTTGGATGGTGAAAAAAAACCCTTTACAAATGAATGATACCATTTTATTGCAGAAATACATATAACGATGGAGGCAGGTAGAGCCTATTAAATTCTGCAGAAATGTGCCATTCAAAAGAAATTACACAAAAGAGATGAACAATACTGACAATGAATAAATACTCTTGAAATGTGAATTTATTTACATCACTTGTCAATTTGAGTAGTTAATCACTTTACTGAACTGTGAATGATTCAAACAGAACAGCAGTGCTCTAAACCTTAATTGTGAAACAATAAGACTACATGAAAATTTTCTGGCTTAATTAATTATGATGGCTTACATACATAGAACCTCAGCTCAAATATAATACCACAAGCAAACTGCAAGATTAGTGATGTGGAATTATGGATGGAAAAAATACATAATTTACAGAAATTAAAGACAACAGTGCTTAGCTGCTTATGCTGGTATAAGTGAACCTGATTATCATTTTGATTAAGTTAATCGGCCAAGCCAGGGTCTTAGGGAGACAAGAGATCAGATTAGAAAATTTTATCCACAAAAACAAGTGAGATATGGTAGGGGAAGTCAAAGATGTCATGTATGTAGCCATTATTTTTTGGTCGGTAGGCATGCCAGATTGTCATGCTAGACAATTAAGGAACAATGATAAGCCCGTGCAGAATTTATATGACAATATGTTTTTCCCTCCCCATGCAGGAGAATCAATTATTGAACACATCAAACTTACGCCAGCTTCCTTTTGGTTACCAAAGTTATCCAATTACATATAACCTGTTCTCTGAATCTTGCCATTCACTGTACTTAACCTTTCACTAGAAGAAAAAAAAAATTAAGGAAGAAGAATCTCACCAACCTTAGCTATAACCTGAAGAATTTCATCAAGCTGGAGCTGCCAGATGCATGAACAATTTCTGTATGGTCAAAATTCGATATCTTTGAGTTCATCCAATCATTGATGAATCCATCCAGAGTCTCTTTTCATACTGTTGCTGGGAGAAAGAGAAAAGACAGCTAGCTCTTTGTATCAAGTATCCCACAACACAGGAAGGACATGACTTGACACGTGAATTATCCACATGTGTTATGAGTTCAAATTACCTGAAAATGCACATTGGAAATTTCGTTTTAAGTAATCAGGAGGAATTTTGTTGGACGGCAAGGCATTATTTTTATCATCTTGAATTAAATTTGCACACATCCTTGATGACCTGCCAGGTTAGACTAGGCAATTTTGAAGGTTAATGATCTACTTGGTTTCATGATGTGTTGGTATGACCACGATTTTCTTTGAGGGTTTTGCTAAGCTTTTAATTTTTATTTTTCTTAAAATAGGAAGAAAAAAAAAGCTATTTAGTTGAGGTGGAAGGGCACACAGCTTAAACTAATCTGCCCTGTTTATTAAACTAAAACTAGACAAATGAGAGGTCAAAGCTTCAAGGAGAGAATTTTGTTGTTGGATACAGCCCATTCTTTTTTAATAAACAGCATGGATTGTCATGCTAGACGATAATTCCTGTTGCAAAGTCTGACATGGACATCTTTTCCTCCATACTGGGGTACTGTCAATGAACACAATCAAACTTTCCATCAGTTTTCCTTACAATTATCAAACTCAGGAAAGTAAACATAAGCTAGCTGTTATCTTAAAAACCTGTCATTCACTGAACCTCTAGGATGAAGAGAAGAAGAAGAAGAAGAAGGAAAGAATCTCAACAACCTTAGCTGACTACCTAACTCACCTCCTTCCTTTGACAAAATATAATGAAATCTCTATTAAGATTGCAATGAATAGCAACACAGGCAGCATCAAGTCTAGTCCGAAAACTAGCTAGATACATGCATAATTTGTATAGTCAAAAAATCCAGGTTTTTGTGTTCATCTAATCATTAATGGAACCCAAAAAAAAAAAGAAGAAAAGGTTTTTTCTAATGTTGCGGAGGGAACAGAAAGAAAAGGGAGGCATGATCTCTGCTCAAAGACTAGTAGCTCCTTTTATAATTCCCTAAACACACCAATGAGACACGTGGAGATTTGCCCATTTTTACTGGTTTGAAGTTCTAGTTTGTGTATGGAACTATAACTCTATTGAATAATTGATTGCAGTTGGTTCAGAAAATTTGAATATGACAAATTTTACAAGTATTAAGTACACATTTTTTGTTTTATTTCACATTTGGCATTTCCCTGTTTTTCAAGTATTAAGTACAAATTACCTCATCTAGGGAAGATGAGGTAATTTGTACTAAAGAAAATGCTCCACTAACTCCCACAGGAAAATAATTACCTAAAATTCAACCTCTATGTTGGTAACCACACCAAATTAGATATTAACAAGAAATAAAAAAGAACAGTTGGATATTTGGAAAAGAGATACCAAAAATATCATTTTCAGCTTCTGAAATCGAGTGATTTCATTTTCTTTGAGGAGCAGATAGTGTTCTAGAACTCTTGGTTACCTACTACAAACCCTGATTTTCCATTCAAGGAAAACGATGGGAGAAAAAGAAATGTTAATTATATAGGCCAGATTGGAACAAGGAGGCTCCTCTCCTTCACTTCTTTTTTCTTTGTAGTCATAGGAGGCTCCTGTCCTTCACCTAATGACTATGTGCCATATGGTTTTGGCATCTATCGAGCTTTTATGGCCATCGATGAAAAATATCCAATGAATATGATAAACCAAAAGATGTAATTATCAGCGTTTTTGTCTGGTTTTCAATTAAATCATGTGTTACTTGCTCAATTTTCTTATGATAAAAGCCGCCACCAACCATGGCCACTCTGGCAACCATGCTGTGTTCTCTCTAGGGTTTTTATAATATTAATGTCAACATAACTGACCCTAGCTATGCACCCTTCAAAAAGTTTGGCATGTTACTTCACTCTTCTTATGAAGTTGCCATTCCAATAGGAGAGCATTTTATAATACTATAATTTTCACCCAAAACTTGTGAGACTTTACTGACTACTACTATTTTTTGTTTGAATTTATGTGGAATTCAAAAGACCCATATGTTAGAAACAAGTGGCTTGTGTAGAACTTGAAAAATTAAAAAGAAAAAGCATAATTAAATGTCATGTGGAAATGAAATATTATTAATTGTGAAAATGTCTTTGATCATTTTTCTATGAAGACAAAGTAAGGTGGTTGTGGGTAGATTGATTTGTTCATCCTTTTCTTTTTGACCTTTTTGAACAAAATGAGTTGCATGATTTTATTTCATTAAACCTTTAATATGGCATGAACCATAGCTGGGCGGGGATTTAGAGGGCCAATTAACATTTGCTTTTTGTTGGATTCATGTAAAAACTTTTCCATTAATCTAAGACCTACTTAAGCAGGCCATCTAATATAATTAAGACTCTAACAAAGTGAGAAAAAGGCAAGTTATCATGGCAAACATGTTTTGCCAATTGTTTATTTCATCTTACCAACATGAAGTCATGTTTGACATAATTTTGATGCTCGTCACCTTACCCTTTCTATTATTTTATTTGTACTAAGTTTTTATGTTAATTAGTTAGCCGAACGAAAGGGTCAAATTGTTCTAGAATCATTTTTAGTAATTGTATGTTGTTGAGATAGCACATTATTGGAATTTGATGCCCGTCCGGTCCTAAACCCTAATCCAAAAAAGGCTTAGTTGCCCATGAAGCCCCTTAACCCACATAATTTTCAGGTGATTGTGACATATTTACTCTTTCCAAGTGGATTCTTAAGCATCAAATAAAAAATTTCAGTTAGTCAGTCACTTGGAGTTTGTCTAATTGCTTGCAGACAAAAATTTGCTTGCTTTTCACTTTAACTTTTTTTTGTTATATATATATTTAAACTTTCTATTGTTTAATTGTAGGCCAATTTTATTTTCTGACACCCAAAAAAAGTGAAAAATGTGCTTAAATTATATGAAATGACAGATGCCATGGTTGCCATGGAAAGCAATAGTGGGGAGAAAATTAAAGAAGGGAGCAATTATTAAATGGAGATTCATGCATGTTTCTAAATTGTGGAAAACATTTCTGATTAAGGGTTATAGCAAATTTTCTTTTTGCCCATTTTTTAATTGAAGATGAAAGTCAAGAGGTATTCTGGTGTGAAGACACATAACAAACAGGCTTTTATGAGGAATATATTAAATCTTTTTTTGCATATAAATTATAACCGTCAAATATTTCTTATTGATGAGCAAAGATATGAGGAGACAAAAATAATTGAAGACTTTCTATATATACGGATTTCAGAGGAGTAGGTAAGTGAATGAACTATAAAGGTCTTCTAAGCCTTCACAAAAGTGCTTAGACCCTGGAAAGATTTTCCATTTTTCCCTCATTTTCTGTCCTGTTCTTGGATACTTTTCCTGTATAGAGAGCACTGGAGCATTTTTCTGTATAGAAAAGGGATTGTTTGTTTGGTCTGGGAATCAGGAAGGTTTGATGTACAAGATGACTATGAAGAAGGTTACATGGAAATCTCTCATGTTAAGCTGTTACAAGAACAACAACAACTCCTCTGATTCTGGCGAAAAGATTTTGAAGCCATGTCAATTCCAGAGACTATCCCTCACGGATGTAAGCGATCCCAGCTCAGCACTCTCTGTTGATGATCTCTCAACCTCTCTCCTTGGCTCATATCTCCACGTCTTTACCTTCTCGGAGCTAAGAGTGATAACTCATAATTTCGCACGGTGTAATCTGCTGGGAGAAGGAGGGTTCGGACCAGTGTACAAGGGTTTTATTGATGACAAGCTTAGGCCTGGATTGAAGGCTCAGCCCGTGGCTGTCAAGGCACTGGACTTGGATGGCTTGCAAGGCCATAGGGAGTGGCTGGTTAGTTTCACAGATGAACTCTTGCATAAGATACATGGTAGCATAAATGTTAATCTCCACCTAACTGCAGTTAAATATATAAACCAAAAATTTTTCTTGCAGGCAGAGATAATCTTTCTGGGACAACTGAGGCATCCGCATCTTGTTAAGTTGATTGGATATTGTTATGAAAAAGAGAACAGACTCCTAGTGTACGAATACATGCCGAGAGGAAGCTTAGAAAATCAACTCTTTAGAAGTATGTAGCTTATTTCAGAAACTATTTACATTTTTCAATGCAATTTATTTAGAAATCTTGGATCTAGTCGTTAAAACTATGTGATACGTCACAGAGAGTGAGAAGTAAAATGATTAGACTTGCTAGTAACAGTGAAAAGTATTTGGACTTTTTCAACTATGTATGAGATCACATAGGCCAAAGCCAGCTTCGGGAAGTAGTGACTCTGATTAATGGTTGCTGATGTCAAATGAAAGAGAACTCTTTTAACTATCAATTGTTACTTGCAAAATTAATATCTGTTGAACTATTCGCTTCCGAATGTCAAATTAAGGGGATAAGCTGTTCTCGTTGCCAGTTGCGAAAGTTAAATTGTGCTTTTGGTCAATATACAGGGTATTCTGCTGCTTTACCGTGGTCAACCAGGATGAAAATTGCATTAGGAGCAGCAAAGGGCCTAGCCTTCCTGCATGAAGCAGATAAACCAGTGATATATCGAGACTTTAAATCTTCAAACATCTTATTAGACTCTGTAAGCCCTTTTGCTAAGCTCTTATGTTTCAAAATTCTATACACAGTAAACTAAGTCCTGATGGTGATGAAAGTAGGAGGAGAAGACTAGTTCTGAAATGGCTGTCTGATTGTTTTGAGTTCTCATTGCAGGATTACAATTGTAAACTATCAGATTTTGGGTTAGCAAAGGATGGTCCAGAAGGAGAAGAGACACATGTAACAACCCGAGTAATGGGCACACAAGGATATGCTGCTCCAGAATATATCATGACTGGTACGCTGAATCAATCTTGATGTATTTAACCCTCATGGAAAGCAATGAGGCTTGCAGCATACTCCAAAATCACTATCTCTGTTTTCAAGTGTAACTTCTAAAAAATGGTTATCAAATGCAACTTTTCCATTGGTTTGAAAGTCAAAACATGCACTAACCTAACCCCATTTTTATATGTTAATTTCAGGTCACCTGACAACAATGAGTGATGTCTACAGCTTTGGAGTGGTTCTCTTAGAGCTGCTAACAGGAAAACGATCAATGGACAATACCCGCCCCAGTCGAGAGCAGAGTCTTGTAGAATGGGCAAGGCCACTTTTAAGGGACCCTAATAAGCTTGACCGGCTTATAGACCTCAGACTCGAGGGACAATTTTCCAGCAAAGGGGCTCAAAGGGTAGCAGCATTGGCTTACAAAAGCTTGAGCCACCGCCCAAAGCAAAGGCCTACAATGGGCGATGTGGTCAAGATCCTGGAGTCTCTACAGGGGTTTGAGGATGAATTTGTTGGACCATTTGTGTATGTGGTGCCAAGTGAAACTGATGATAGTAAGGAATTTTTGGCAAAGAAGGAAAGTAAAACGAATGAACAAGAGAAGGATTGCAGTGGAGAAAATGGCCACAATCCACTTGGACGTAGGTGGAGAAATCGGATCAAATTGCCTCTTTCTTCTGTAGCAAATTCCGAATCTCCATGTAGCATGAGCGTATGAGAATTCCACGAGGACAGTACACTACAGGGTTGAATTTGTCTAATTAAGTTGTAAATATCGTCAGGACAGTTCTAAGTTCAAGGAATAGCGTGAGGGGAAACAAAAATACATTACAAAATCAGATCATCACAGCATAAAATAGTTACTATTAGAATTCAAAAGTGTTTGTTGAAGAGTTGAAAATAATGTTGGGAGAGCACTCGAAGAAGAATTGAAGTGCTCGTGAGTTGTTCTGTTTAGCTTAGTTGGTAATAGTGTTCACGAGTCATTGACGAAACAAAATATCTTTGACTCAATTTCGCCCTCATTCGGGCAAGGATATTATTCAGTATTTTGAATGAAAATGTTGATATTATTGCCAGAATTTGCAGCGGCTTTATTCAATATCTAACCCTTCTTTTCAGCTAAACATTTGAACTGCATGCATTTCCATCCTGTTTTGTCTTGGAGAAAGGAAAAGACATCCACCTAACATACAAACTTTCAATTAAATTGTTCCCAGCTTGAGAATAGACAAAAACCTACCGTGAATTTTAATAATAGATCAACTTTCAACAGGATCATAGTAAAGATATTTGCAATCGCTTGATTACATCAATGCTAGAACAGGGTATTGAAATTTTCAACAACCACTCGCTGGCCGGCCCCCTCTAAACTAATTATATACTTAACGTTCTTCCTAGCCTCATTCCATATTGGTTACCAATGTTTCTGATGGAAGTTGGAAATTTCGTCTGACTTATGGGAACTAATTATTTGTTTTATAGTAAGTTAGTCTGTCGTAATCTTTGCAAACCACATCATTATCTATAATGATAAATTAATAGGTTTAATTAACAATCAGATGAGTGCTTTCGAAATGGCTGCAACAGATCTAGAAGGGAGGTATGAACTAAAGGGATAAATTCCTGGAAGACATGATGATGCCTAACCTTATGGAAACAGATATGATCCGTGTACTTTTAGCTTACAAGATTGGGAAAAAATAAATATAAAATTCACAGGCAAGCAGAAACCCCATTATTGTTGATAATCTCTATCAGAAAACAATTGGGAATGTTTGCTAGAAACTAGAATCTTTTGTTGGAAATACATCAAAGAGCATCAGAAAAGCAGCATTGAGAATTCTTAAAATCCCAAATTCTAATCCTCCAACTCCAATATGTTTATAGGCTTGGAAAGGTGAT